GGATTCTTCAAAACTCTGGGATGAGCGCCTGGACTSAGACTGGAAACCCCAAACGCGGAGTTTTATCCTCAATGCGGGGTTTTGCTGCCTTAATCCTGCCTTTAACCAGATGGGATCCCCCTGGAGCCGCTGGAATTTTCCCCGAGGGTTTTCCCTTGGGACCCAGCAGGAGTTGGTTAAGTGCTCACAAAGACATCGGGATATTCTTCATTCCCATGGTCCATTTATCTGGATTCTGTCGGGCTCTCCGGGTTTTTCCTAATGGCTCCCATTAAACTTCATTAAAGCCGAGCTGAAATCGTTGGGATCGATTTTGCGGCTCCGGAGCGGATCGTGCTCGGTCTCTCCAGAATTCCAACCACATTCCCTGTCCTTCCAAAGCTCCGAGGGACGGTGGGATCTCAGTTTGTGCTCCGGGGGATATTTGGGATCGCCCCGCAGAGCTGGCATTCCTAAATCCCTTCCCAACCGGGAATTTCTGCTCTCCCAACCCCAGCTCAGCTTTTTTTTGTTTATCCAGTTCGTTCCCCGTGTTTATTTTTCCTTCCCTTGACCTGCTAAATCTCAGCAATGAGGAATGGCTATTCCTGAGTGCCAGGGAAAGGGGGACGGGGGAGAAGGGAGGGAAGGTTTTAACGGGCTCTTTTCCCACAAAATAAACATCCTCTGGCTGGAGGAAGAGTAAACTTCCCCTGGAAATGGATGTGTTTATACGAACAATCCCTTTCTTCTGGCATTTCCAGAGATTTGCTGGCTACCACTGGGAAAAGAGGCTTTTAAGTGAGGCAGCAGATAAGTCTTYCCGTGATTTGTTTGGGTTTTTGGGGTTGCTGTGATCCTGGAAGGTATTTCCTCCTTTCCCGCTGGAATGTCCATCCCGATGGGCAGCCTGAGGAAAATGCCATTCCCAGGAATCTGCTTCAGCGGGGATTTTCTGGGAATCCTCAGCCAGCACAGCTTCCTCTGGAGCTGGAAACTCCCAATTCGTGTTTTTACCAGAGAAAGAAATTTTTTAACCTCGCTAAACTGGGATGTGCCACTTGCAGGGACATCCTTCCAGCTGATGTGGGATTATCCAAATGGATCTGAGGCAGAATTAATTCATTTCCATCCTCATTGTGGTTTTAATGTTTGGTTTTAGACAGAGAAATTGAGCTTTAAAAGCTTTGTGATTTCCTTAGGTAGGGATTAGGGTTAGGGTTTGTTGAAAAACAGGAATCACCCAAACAAATTATTGAAAAAATGATTGAAAAAATGACTGAAGTCAAAATCACCCAAACAAATGATTGAAAAAATGACTGAAAACTCCATTTTGCACATGTCAACCTCCTCCTCTCCAAATAAAGGCTCCTCTCTTCCTCAGGCCGACTTCAGAGGAAAACATCAGACATTGCTCTCCAACAGTTCTGATAGGAACAGATGAGAAGGTGCCAGATGATCAAAGGGACAGGGGAGTTCTGAGATTTCCTGTCTGTGGGATGGAGCTGGGAGATGCTGGAATGGCTTCCCACCCTGAATTTCACATTTCAGCCTGTGAAGAGCAGCCAAAAACTTGTTTGGTGTTGTTTTTGGTTGTCAGGATCTTCCAAACGACGGGGAAAAGGATAATCAGTGGTGGTAATGATCTGTGGGATAAATCAGAGTTATCCTCTGGGATAAATCAATACTGATCAGAAGGAATGGGATCAGGGGGACAAACTGCACTGGTGGTTTGGAAAGGATCACTTCCGGTTTATTTTGCTGATTATTTTTT